GATGAAATTCAAGTATGAAACTCTTAAAATGTTCAAGTGATTCAAACTAGAAATTGAGAAACAATAGGTAAATAAATTCTCACACTAAGATTTGATCGATGTGGAGAATACGTAAAATATAGAATTTTAGATTATCTAAAAGAGAATGTGATTCTCTTGCAGTGGATTCCTCTATATACATTGCAACATAATGGTGTATTTATAATGAGGAATCATGCACTATTAGATATATTGCAACTAAGGACAAGCCATGCAAACACTTCAAAATTGTTTTAAAGTCATGCACTGATTGTCACGTGCTACACACTAAGTCGTGTCACATCTAAATCGGTTAACTAAACTCCATAGGAGTTATGGAAAGACGAAGGCCCAACTTTTCTCATTTGAAAGATTGGGGTTGTGAAGTTTATGTGAAGCGCACTGAATCGGATAAGTTTGAAACTAAATTCGATAAACATATATTTGTGGGATATTCAAGAGACAATTGGATATCAATTCTATAATCTCATTGAGAAGAAGGTGTTCATCTCAAGACATGTCATACTACTAGAGAAAATGTTTATTCTAGGAGAGGACAGTGGAAGTAGAGTAAATCTTGAAAGAGTTTAAGGATTCACAGATATAGTTAACCAAGTAGATAACCTGAGTTTGATCCCAAAGTGTTGAGGGACATACTCTTGATCAGGAAGTGGAGACTCCTGAGGACACGACAGCTCCATGTAAATCTTGTAGAATCATTCGACCTTCTAGAAGGTAAGAATCCATGATTACTAAGCTAGCATTACTAATCGAGGATGATGAACCTACTAATTATGCATAAACAAAGTCAAGTGTTGACTCGCTGACATGGCATAAGGCTATGATATCCGATATGAACTTAATGTAACCAAGGTTTGGTTCTTGGTCAATCCGCCTAATGGATTAGAACCCATATGTTGTAAATGAGTTTACAAGAAAAGTTCAATATGGACTGAAACAAGCCTTTTGGAGCTGAAATCTTCGATTTGATATAAAAGTCAAAATGTTTGATTTTATTAAAAATGAATTGTGTGTTTAAAAGAAGATAGTGGGAGCATTGTCGCATTTCT